GCCGGGAGGCTGCGGGGAGGGGGCAGTTGTTGGTGCTGGTAAATCTGGGGATAAACCCAGGAGTTTTGGGAAAAACGTAGCGGCAAGGCAGGTCGCCGTATGTATACCGTGAGCGGCGAGGCCTGGCGGTGTCGGCATGCGTCCGTCTGGCGAGGGCTGGAGGGACGGACGGGCGTGGTCTCAGGACAACGCCCCGCTTCGTTACCGGCACCTAACGAGCCCGGCGCTAAAGAGGTTCCCTACCTCGACACCCAGAGCCTGTCAGGCCTGGCGGCGTCGGTGTCGCGGCGTCGGCGGCTGACGGTGCGGGATTGCCTGGGGGGGGAGGGGGGCGTTAGTGGGGGGCACGGGGGGATTTGGGGGCCTCCGGGGCCGTTTCCGACACTTTTGGGGCAACTTCCGCTGCTTTTGGGGCAGTTCAGGGTGGGGTGTGAAGCCTGACTTGTTGACCAGACTTATTGATATAATCAATACCGATGTAATCAATAACAATATATTAATTATATCAATAATTTTACATCTATCCAGCCCCACCAATGTGATTGAGATTGCTATAATTAGTATCAATATATCAATTATGTAAATGTTTTATGTTTATCCAAATCTGGCAATCGCTATCAAATCTACCAATAATTTGGCCTATCCAGACCTATCAATACAATCAATATACATAAAATCAACACTAATATAATCAATATTGATAATTAATACTAATATATTAATTACAAAAATAACATTATGTGTGAACAAACTTACAAATGTAATCAGTATTGATATAATGAGTTTCAATATATCAATTCCATCAATAATTTTATGTCTATCTGGACCCATCAATGTAATCGGTATTGATAAAGCCGCCATTAACGTAATCAATATTGCCAATATAGACATAATTAAAGTATTGATTATATCGATGATGTAGGGGTGCAACAAGATGCTGTTTATCTATTTGTGATACAATTTACGTATTAAACAATGCACATTAACATAGGAGGGATCGATCGTACGTACATCAGAGACATCGGTGAATATACTCCTGATGGACACTTTCAGATGTTAATTAGAAAAGGCTCATTAGCGCAGTGTAATCTCTCTCCACAGGTGCAGTGGGGTCTCTGGGTGTCATTAACGGCCGTGGGGGGGGCCCCCCCCCCCCGGCAGGGAGCCATTTTGGGGCCATTTTGGGGTCTGTACCTGGCGAAGCGGCCGAGGGCCACCCAGGGCTTGTCCTCCATGTTGGGGGGTCCTGGGTGCTGCGGGGAGGGGACGTGGAGGGAACAGCATGAGGAAAATGGGGGGGAATGGTGAGGAAGTGGGGAGGGAAAAACGCAGGGAAAGGGGGGTAAAGCGTGAGGGGGAGAATAAGGGAAAACGTGAGGGGAAGCGGAGGCAAAGCGGGATGGGAACATGGTGGGAGGAGGGGGGAAGTGTGAGGAAAAAAAGGAGGGGAAAATGTGAAGGAAATGGAGGGAAAAG